TTCGATGCCATATGTTGGGTTCCCCGATTGATCAATCAATTGCTCACATTGTTATCATGTGCCCCATTTATGGTATGAGATTCCCTCTGGTCTCATGAACTTAAGGTAAAGATGGTATGATTCTCTTTCCTACATGGAAAGCTGTACCTTTTTGACATGGCTGGGTTTTGGATTGTAGTTGACTTACTGCTGGTATAGTGCCCGGCATGGCCAGGTGGTTAGGGCGCTCGACTCGTAATCTGCAGGTCGCGGGTTCGAATTCCCGTCACACCAAACATGCTCACCTTGTGTCGGGACTACAACGCCAGTCCTATTTCCAGATACACACCTCCAAAAAGAATTTGGAGGTGTGAGAAACACCATTCGCAACTACTACTGCTGCTGGTATGATCCTCTTTCCTACCCCCACATGAATGTCTGTACCCAGTGGCCGGGTTTTGGATTGTAGTTGACCTAACGACAGTATGATCCTAATCCTACCCCATGTGGATGTCGATTCCCAGCGACATGGGTTTTGGATGTAGTTGACTTGTGGTGTACAGTCTGTTGTACCCTAGCCACTCTACACCTAGGGGCACATCCTTTTCATCTTACCCACTTTTATGTTTTCCAGGATTGAGTTTAATAAATATAATATTGTTTGGATGTGCCCTTCCATCTTTCCACCCACATATGCGACAGCTTTCCACAGTGGGTGCAGAGTATGCCTAGTATACAGAAGTGGTCAAGTCTCCTATGTATGATCTTCTGATATAAGGATCTACTCTTTGGGGGTGTTCTTTGGACACTTTCAAAGAATACTTCTTTCTTTCCCTCACATCAGTTCCTCCATCTATTCAATGTGTGATTCTAGCTATTTATGTGAGAAGAGGTAATGTACCGTATCGGAAGTTATAATTTTCCTATACTGAAAATGTATTTCCAATAGGTATTTACCTCCTCTCGCACTTCCCACTGAAAACCAGTGCTTCCATTTTCTGGCAAAACCCAAAGTAATAGTTTGGTAGAATTGAATAGAGGAAATCACATGCGTCAAGAGTGTGTCACATTCTTATTGGTGGAGGATTGTCACATAATGAATTGCGTGCGAGACACATTGGAATCAGTTGATTAAAATATGGGCATGAGCTTCAGGGTTTTTGGCATGGGAAAACAAATTTTTGTATATAGAAGGCAGCACTGAATGAGAATAGCTATTTATGTGAGAGGAGGTAAGTATATATCGGAAATACATTTTTCAGTATATGGAAATTATAACATCCAGTACATAATGGTGATATTATTTATTCTGGTTGTCTGACTCATAAAAACACTACTAATCAAAACTAACTAAAAATGGAGATATTTTAAATTATTTTGTGGTGTGCTAGGTTTCCATGCTTTAGCTTATACATGTTTCTAAAATGTTAATTAATCTCTTCATACACAGTTTGAGACTAGTATGTTATGACATCAGATACAAAAACATTCCCTTTGTAATGATGACACTGTGTTAATATGTATGACTGTTTTCATGTCTCAAAACATGATGTTTCACATTCCACATTACTGGGATCTTTGAACTGGTTCTTGTTAGTGCAGTGTGTAAGATATTCATATATTATTGTGAGGTATTATTACCTATTATCATACTTACTTGTAAAGTACAGTATATAATAATCTTCAAACTTAAGCTTTGTAGGAGTACTAAGTTTTAGTCCACGAGCTAAAACTTTTTTCTCTTCATCATTCAAAACATACTTAGAGAAATGAAATATTACACAATCAAGTTTTTTTCCAAAAAAAGATTTCCTAACTGTTGTCTTAAACTGTTTATCTCTAAGCTGTACCAGAATCTTATTGTTCCGTGCTTCAATGAACTTTTTCAAACACATAAAATCTAAGTATCCCACTTTATTTCCAGTATTTGAAACACTTGTATAGTTTGTTTTGTTAGGGATTTAACCAACTGATTTTTTTTGTTTAATATCAGAATTAAGTAATTCAATTTGCATTTTATGATAGTGACTTGAGTAGTGAAACTGAGAGACAGAAACTTTAGAATTGAGGAAACAAGGAATTACTTTTAAAATTGTACATTCATTCAAAGACTACAGATTTAGTTTATTTTTTGAAGATTTTAAATGTATTTTTTTATGCATGTTTGAAGAGTGTTAACCAGATTTACCATACCTTTATTTAATGACATCTACAATAGATTTATTTATAGGAAATCTGAAGAAAGTTATAAACTATAATACTGTATGAACTATCACCCTCATAGTATTGAAGCTAACTGAGGAAAATTTATCAGTTAAAACCCCTTCCCTATAAATCATAATTCCCAACCCGCAGATGGGCAAGGTCACCAAAAGTCCTGACTCCAGTCTGCTATAAAAAACAGAAAAGGCCAATCATAATTAGAAAAAGAAAAAATAATTAATTTATATCATAAAACACACCACAATATTTGCCATCATATAAACCCCCAAACCAAAATTACTACACAATATGAAATACACCAAAAACTTCACCGAAATAAGTACTAAAACCTCCATGTAAAAACAATCTAACTCCATTAGCCATGAACTTTTGGAATAAACTAAGTCCATCATCAGATGAGAAGATTGTAACGAGAAAATTTAAACTTTTGAATACTACATCTTAGCTTTTTGGCAAAACTAACCACATTTATTTGAGGCCTCAGTTTGCGAATCAAAAGACTGTTATATGGAGTGTGTTCATGACTTGCCCTTACAAGGGTCTTGAACAACTTAGAGTGAATATTAATGTTATATGCTCCTAGGGCATGTTCTAATGTACTTGACTTAGCAAGTGATCTAAAGTTGATGTGTTCTTTTATTTGTGTTAACATTATTTTTTTAGAACCAATAGATGACAGCAAGGACAAGTAAATTTATGAACTACTAATGATAGCTGTAAAATTGGTATTTGGTTCTTTAATTTAAAGATAGCAGGTGAAATTTAGGTTTAAACACAAACGTATTAATTGTATTAGAGGGTATACTCTTTAGATAACCTGTTTCAACCGATTCTTAATAATTAAAGAATATTTATTTATAAATGGTAAACTGGTGACTAAAGGATGTTTAAACATGTTAGTAGGATTTACTACATGAAACTTAGTGCTAATTTAAATAAGTATGAAGCATTCAGTTAAGCATAAAACATGTGAATTTATTTTTGCATAAAAAATCCTTGAAGTTGATTGAATTTTTTGTGCATAACTTTGTACATGCAAGATAATATTTTAACTAAATTGCTTTAAAAATATTTGAAACAAAGCTTTCAAAATTAAAATATAAACCTGTGAATGTTTTCATCTGATAAATTTCACATTGAAATTCTCCATTATTGCTATTATTAGGGTATCTAAAAAGGGAAGTTTATGGCCCTGCTGATGTTTCACAGTAAACTTTGTGCTGTTGTGTCTACCGTTTATGTATTAAAGAAATTTGGATGTTTGATCAGAGTTCTTAAAGATGGTGAAGGTATTGTCAACAACTGAGATAGTAAAAAGGTTTAAAATGTTGCGGATAATTTTCCAACCATTGTTTTTCATGAAAACATAAAAATAAGTTGGCTGGAGATGAGATTGTTTAGTGGCAAAACTCTAAAGTTTCAAAAAGATACATTTTGGGATGAACACTATATTTGAATTATCATCATAAACCAACTCAGCACTTAACTATTGTCTCTTCTAATGCCATATTTATAGGTAGTGATTTGATGTCAAAAGTGGCACAATATACATTACTGTATCAAAAAATCAACTAGAAAATCAGCCTTTTGTCGATGAAATTTCACAAATTTGGTGCAATCACAATTTATATTAATAACTTTATCTCAAATTACAATACTATTTCCATGGTCTGATCTAGAAATAACAATATTATTATGTTTTAGTTAAATTCTTTAGAGCTTTAAAATCTTCAACACTTGATTATAAAAATGTTTGTGTTCATTTTTATAATTGCTAAACCCAGTCAAAGCTGTATCACTGATGTGAGTCCTTATATTACTGAAACATTGACCAGACTTATTCCAAATGGTTTGTGATAATATTAGAAACAATAGAAATGCAGAAACAATACATTTAAAATCTTTGAAAAATAAACTACATCTGAATTTCTTAAAGGAATGTAATTCCTTGTTTCCTTAATTTTTAAGTTTCTGTCCCTCACTTTCACATTCAAGACAGTATCATAAAAGTCAAATTGAATTACTTAATTTTGAAATTAAACAAACAAAAAAAGAGTAAACAAACTATATAGCCATTTGAAATATTGGAAATTAAAATCGTTTATTTACATTTTATACATTTGAAACACAGAACAATAAGATTTTGATACATGTTAGAGAAAGACAGTTGGTTAAGTAATTCTTTTTTTGGATAAACTTGTTAGTGTAATATTTAATATTTCTTGGTATGTTTTGAATGATGTAGAGAATTTTAGCTTGTGGCTTAAAATTTAGTATTCCTAATAAGTACACTAATATAAAACAGTTATCTTGGAATGAAGCACATAAACATTTCATATTTGGATTCTGCTTAGAAATTGACTGACAACATTAAACCTGATTTTGTATTTGTATAATATTTTGATGCTTTTATGGTAGATTATATCAAGCCATTTCTTTAAAGAGATTAGTAATTGAACAAAATATAAAATTGTACTCTTCTTATTGAGGCAATAGATTTATCTGCAGAAATTTTAACTGGATGTTAAAAAATTAGTTTATTTTATAATACTAGAAGTTATAAAGCAGTTTTTTTTAACTAAGAAAATGTGATATTCAGATTTAGAAAAAAAATTGTACATTATTTTTTGTGAAATGGCTTTATTTTGATGCAAATCACCCTGGAAGACAGTACAGTATTAACATAGATTTTTAAAAAATTAATTTGGAGTGTTTTATTATAACGTGAACTTTGGAATTATGTTATTAAAATAAATTTTTTCAGAGTTAAAAGTCATTAGATCTTGTTTCTTTTTCAGAACCTAAGAAATACAAAGAAATTTTCGAACCTTGGCTCCCAATTCGTTGATTCAAAGTGTTTTGAAACAAATTAGAAGTGGTTTTAAATAGCTTAATGAATGCTGTAGACTATATCTGTTTAATTTGGTTCCATCAACTTAGAAAAGCTAGGGTTACTTCTAAAGACTAGAACTTACCAACATGTACAGTCATCAATATTTATATGATGAAAATAAAGTTCAATAAAAGCACAAATAATTAGTTTTTGTTTGAAATTCTTTATTCTTTTTTTCTACATTTACTTTTCATAATATTGATACTCTGATAAAATAGATTTATTGACTTTGTGTTGAATAGTAAGAAAAAACCCATCATATATATACATGGAAGGAAATAGTTTATACTCCAATATTAACATGATGCACTAAACTTCCTCTCACAAAAAGCTTTTGCGACTTGTATTGTCATCTGTTTGCACAAATTTTCACCCACCACTTACCTTGTTACACCCACTTATTACTGAACACTAACATGCAAATGACCATGCAGCAACCCTCCACCAATAGGAGTGCGACACTACCCTTATTGTAACTAACGACCCCTCTAATCATGCACATGTTAATCACTTCTCGATTTGCAGTTCAATAGATTAGAAGTTTATTCGATTGTGGTTTAATTAACTTATCCACATGTTTTTACTTTTGTGAATTTCTTTTTCAGTTAATTTATTTTACGTTTTCATTCTGTTTATTGGAGAGTTACAATTTATGAGTTATGAACTCGCAGTTTTAGGTGGTTACGACTACTCTTACTGTGGCAGCAGAATTCCCGACCACGATTCTTGGCCCATGAAGCGATGGCTCTGGTCCATTGGGAGGTGACCACTTTCATCCTACAATTAGAACACACTGATGATTGTCCTCACAAGATTTTCAGTGATCTTTTAGTTTTGGATTTGGACAGCCTTTTTCCCTACTGAATATATGCCTCTTGATCATGTGTCATCCTTTTGACAATTTGTTATTCAGATATATTATGTACTTATCTCCCATTTACTGTGTTCCATCATTGCTCTTCTAGAATGTTCTGATCTCTCCATCTCCTTTGTCAGGTCAGGGCTTCCTGAAGGTATATGACATGTACTGCTCCCTTCCATAGTTCCCGAGTCCGTATATTTCTTCCGTGAAATTCTCACCTCTCCTTTGACCTTTTTCCATCGCCCTTCTGGGTTGTATTTGCTGGTTCATTTGTCTGACGCTTTCTTCCCTTTCTTCCTATCAGATCCGGCACCTTATCATGTCCCTGGTTGCACATTTCCATCATTCCTTGAGGGACATCATAGTGCTGTAACTGTTTATCTGTGGTGTTAAGTACTCCATTCATTTTACTTTTTCTCTGTAGGGGCCATTATAGCATATTTGCATCTCACTCTGTAGGGAGTGTTGTCTGACCAGGTATACTTAGTCTTAAATCTGCACTGTACGACCTAGGAATATGCTAGTTGACTGTGATATTGAGACTCTTCCTACCATGGACTTGATGTACTATTCCATATGCCACCAGGTGTTGCTTGATTGACTCTGTCCAATATGTCTTCTATGCATCGGTACCAATTGTAGAAAAAAAGAGATAACACATCATGAGGTAATTTTCCACCTACCATTGAGGTGGGGTGTTCCAGTGGACTGCTTATAGGTGTACCTTGTGGTCTTTTGCTTCATAAATATGTTCATCTCAGACTGTACACTCATGGACTAACATGTGTAAAGCAGACAGGGATTGTTGCTCATCTCTGATTATCCATGACATTTGATGCTTCTCCTATTGTGGACCTGATGTGCAATTCTAGATGCCACCATGTGTTGAATGATGCACTCTGTCAGTGTAATTGCTCTGTTTCTCATTATAGGGTATTGTAGTCACTCATTGCACTGTCTTTAGTACTGTGGTCCTCCGGACTCCCCAATGCCTATTTCCCTCCTAGTGGAGTATGGGAGACCTTGCCACTTCCCATCTGCTTGGGTAGTGGACCATGTAGGCCTGTCCTCCTGAGTGTGCACAATACCATTCAGTTTGGTAGTAGGGTGGTGGCATTCTGCGGGTGTTAATGATGTGATTCTATTCCTACTGCGGACCTGATGTACAAAGCCAGATGCAGCCAGGTGTTGGATGTAGCACTCTGCCATATATATAAACAAAAAATTAACAAAAGAAAAACAAAAATGCAGTTTGCTTCTCCTTCATACCATCCTCTGGATGTCAGTTCCCAGGGATCGGGTGTTGTTCGGAGATGGTCCAGTCACATAAATCCTCACATGTGTTTGGCTGGTACTTTCCTCTTACTGTGGACTGGGCAGTAAATTCCCACTGCCACTAGGTTTTGGACCAGATATGCAACCCCAAAATTGCAATCCCTCTTCCTACTATCTGCTGGATGTCAGTTCTCAGTGGATCTGGTGTTGGTTGTAGATGGACAAGACACGAGTTCTGGCTTGTGTAACGGTGGATACCCTTCTAGTTTGGACTGGGCGACCAAATTCCCAATGCTGCCAGGTTTTGGACCAGAGATGAACACCCGCCTGGGCTATCCTCCTTCCTACAAATTGCTGGATGTTAGTTCTAGGTGGATCTTTTGTTAGTTGTGTTGAAGATGTGCACATGTGGAGATAGGTTCTTGGTATGGGAGCTCCTATTCCCTGCTGGTACCCATTTTTGAGGTAAAAGGTAGAGGACTTTCTTCATACTGTGGACCTGATGTACAATTCCAGATGCTGCCATGTGTTGGTTGAGGTTGAACTCCAATTTATGGTTTGTGATGTCTTAGCCAATCTAAACTAGGGGTCCTATTATTTCTGTATTTTTTTAGGGACCTCCAAGTTCCTACCCCTTATGTTTTGGCAACACATTACAAAAGTTCAAAGAGTATACATAGCTCAGAAGTGGTGCGGTTATTTTAAATCCTTATCACTCCTCATGGTCTTATTTTGGGTGCTTCCTAAAGGGGATTGTCTTTTCACCAGCCCTCCACCAGTTCAATGTGGGGTTCTAGCTTTTTATCAAAGGAGGTAAGATATCGTATCAGAAGTTAACATTTTCATAAACTGAAAATGTATTTCTGATAGATACTTGCCTCTTCCCACATTTACCACCCGTTTTCCTCACTTCCAGTGTGAATTGGTTTGGTTAGATATGACTAATGCTGAAGTGATTAACATGTGCATGATTAGAGAAGGCATTAGTTATGATAGGGGTAGTGTTGTACTCCTATTGGTGGAGGGTTGCTACATGATCATTTGTATGTTAGTATGCAATAATAAGTGGGAGTAACAAGGCTAGTGGTGAGCAAAAAGTTGCCCTGATAGAGGGTAGTACAAGTCAAAAAAGCTTTTTGTGAGAGGAGGTATCTAACAGAAATACATTTACAGTTTAGGAAAATGTTAAGGTTTGGGAATTTGTAACTCCTAGTTATTAGACATTTGATTTTGTTGTCGAGTAAATTTTATTCAGCATTTTAAGTTTAAGCTTTTTACATCCATCTTAAGTTTTTGAAAATGAGTACAAGTATAAGTGTTGTACGTTATTACAACTATTCTCGACACCAAATGATTTTTTCCTGATCCACATTGGAACATTTTTATAATTAACTACTATAGCCAACAGATCTTACAAATATGTGTGGTATACCCATAAACTTTATGCTAACTTTACCTACATAAATTGCTTTCGTGATACAAGAGTGTTGTTTTCATACATATTTCCAACATCCATTACAGATTGGCACAGGATTTTTGAGTTAACTGACAACAGGTTGTAATGAATAAGGAAAGGAAGTTGAAATAAATCAGTATAAGTAGAAATATATAATAAAAGAAGTAAATATGGCTATAGCTACAGGAGGATGTAAGACAGAAGAGAGTGCGTGACTTTGAACTAATATAATGACAAATGCAGGCTTAGAAGCAGTAGCAGCTCCACCAGTGCCATTACATCAGTGCAGTGCTACACACTTAAGGAGTGCTGTACCATTATTTTATCTGAGCAAATAGATTGTTTTAATTGTAGATTAAAAAGGTCACATGGCTTAGAGATTGTAGATGGTCACATAAAGCAAGAAATTATAAACTGCCAAGTTAAAAAAAGGTTCACGAAACCTGCTGTAAAACGAGCAAAGGAGACAAAAAAGTAATTCCAGCAGAATTACAGAGCAAAAATAGAGGCAAGTTGTGGCAATGTGGAATAAGAGATTGAGTGCGAATAGTGTCAACAAAATTTCACCAGTAGTCCCTTTAAACATAGAAGGTACGAAATGTATGTTATTAGTTCACATGAACACTCAATCAATCTTCTCTGCTAAGTTCAGATTTAGTAAAGAAAAATCTGATGATGTTAGATAATTCATGGAAAGAATTTTTGAAAAGTATTTTAACTCTCATAACAGGACGTCCTCTTAAGATGTCAGGCAAATATAGTGTTGAGATAGAAATAGGAGACTTAGAACTTGAACACTTCTTCCATATCTTTAAGCAGATGATTTTAAAACAAATAATATTTAAGGACAAGATTTCAGAAACTACGACACCAAAATATCCATTTCCAGAGGTAAGCTGCACATAGAAATGGAGATCTTAAAGTTTTGAAGAAATTACAGTATTTTTCTGTGTATAAGACGCACTTTTTTTACCCCAAAATTTGATGTCAAAAATCTGCTTGCGTCCTATACACCGAAGGTATGAATAATATATATACGATATACACAAGCCATGTGTAAATATATTTAAATAGGCATGCATAGTTTAGTTCAGTTGAATGTGTTATTTATAACAATAGCAGTTTTTTTTTCTTTAAAAACATAACTATTTATAATGCTCCCTAGATAATAAAAAAA